GCCTCAACAATTACCTATGCTATTTTTGGGGGGGGTCCTTATTACAATTATAGTGTAATGGGCCCCAAATCCTTATTCCAATTATTAAGGCCCCTACATTATAAGGTTCAGGGATTGAGGCTTCAATAATTGGAATAGGGTATCAGGGCTCCTTTACAGGGGTCTATAAGGGCTACTATAGGGGTGCATGGTTTAGGGGCCTGAATAAGTAGACTAGGGTTTTAGGGGTTCCTTTTTTCATTCTAAGCGTAATACATCCCAAAGCCTGAATAATTACCTATGCTATTTTTTTGGGGGGTTCCTTATTACAATTATAGTGCAATGGCCCCAACACCCTATTCTAATTATTAAGGCCCCTATGTTACAGGGACTGCACTGGCAGAGCCACGGAACGGTAGTGGTAGCCGTCGGCTTCCTCGTTGCCCTTTTTAAGTGCACCTCCCCTGAAACCCCTCGATATATGCTCCCAAGATCCCTTACAAACCCTGGTGGCATTAAGCCCTGATGAACCCCTAAACTCTACCCCCCATAAACCCTAGAATCCTAGAAGTCTTACAAACCCTGTCAACATTAAGCAGTGCCCCATAAACCCTAGAATCCTTCGAAGTCCTACAAACCCTAAACCCTAAACCCTAACCCTAACGCCAGGGTCTTCGTTGAAGACATCGTGGCCGAGATTGCGTCCTCCTCGCTAAAGGCTCGTCCCAGAGGAGCAACATGGGGGGGGCTCAGACGCTGGGTGCGCCCTATGAAAAGGCCCCTTAAAGGCGAGGATCCATGTTGAGGGACCCTTTAAATGAGGATCCATATTTAGGGGGATTCTGCCCTAAACCCTAAACCCTAAACCCAAAGTTTGTGTCCACCTTTTAATAGAAAAGGATTCTGTAACGCTCANNTCATTTGGATTTCTCACGGCACCACTCTAAAAACCGCTACTCATTTGTCTCCCATTTGTCTCCCACTTGCTGTTTGGGGTCGAGGCTGGTATAATTTCCAAAGCTCCTCTATCTTTTCTATGCCTGGGCTTTCCTTAGACAGGTCACCGCCACCTCTGCTCCGATTCTCCGCAGCGCGGTTGAGGGTGTGGCATCGGCGGTCCTCAGGCACTTGGGTGACGGGGTAAGGGGCTATGACAGCATAAAGTATAAGCTAGTGTAGCCTTATATCCTAACAAGATTTTAAATGGGAGCGTACATATAGCATAAGACAATACAGTATGAAATAGCAGAATAACATGAGATAAGACAAGGTAAGAAATATGAGCTGCCACTCCAGAGTGGCATGAAGTAGGATGCACTATAGTCACTGTAACGTAGTATATCTTAGCAGAATGTAATGCAATGGCATGCAAATTAATTAGTAGCATAGAGTCGAATCGGACAGAATATGGTATGATGTAATATAACATATCGACCAGCATAGAATCGAACATACTCGAGTATTCCGTAACATAAGATAAAGGAGCGGGATAAATAATCAAAACAGAACTAGAAAACATGCGGTATAACTGTTATGATGTGATGAAATAGAATAGATTCGAACAGAATAGACTATAAACTATTACGTAAACCAGAATCGAATAATTAGTATACTGCATATTACAAAATTCGAACATCCCCAATAAAAGGGTATCGACCAGCATCGACTCGAATACACTCGAGTATTCTATAACATAGTATAATGGAACAGGATACATAAACAAAATGAAGATAGAAAATAGGCAGTATAACAGAACGCTGATATGATGTGATGAAACAGCAAAGAATAGCATAGATTAGAACAGAATCGTGCAATACAAAATTCTATACCGAGCATAGCATCTAGTAGTATGATATATTATTCCATATCGTGTTGCAATATAATACAATGCAATATAAGTTTCAAGAGGTACGCAGGAGCTGAAAGCAAGCAATCCGGCAACTCTACTTGTTAAGATTGTCTTAGCGGCATGATCATATATAATAGCAACATTTCGTGCCGTATATGGGCATATTTTGAAGAGTATATAGTAGATATACACATAAATCGTATAGATGCTGATCAGGTCCCGTGGGGCTGGTGATGCCAAGGCGCTGCAGGGTCTGATTCGATATGTTTAGGGTTTAGGGTTTAGGGTTTAGGGGGGCTCGGGGTCTAGAGTGGTGGCAAACATCTGGGGAAGAAGTCGGGTTTAGTGTTTAGGGCCAGGGTCTTGACTGTAGGGTTTAGAGCGGAATCTATACATCTCTCGCAGCAACTAATGTCGGGCGAAGAAGGGACAGCTTTCGAAGGTGAGGCACAGTAGGCATGTTTAGCTCGCTGTAGACAAGACAGCTGCCATAGGCTGCGTGTGCCGAAGGATCGGAAGGTGCTGAGATAGGTTAGATGTGAGATCGCAAGCCAGTGAGGAAGGTTGAATGTTTCTCGGATAGTGCCCATCAAATGGATGTGCCCACCGGCAGTGCTATTAGGTCCAAAACCTTGAACTTGAAGCGACCCGCCTGACCCGCTCCATGAAGCTTTGCTCAGTGCCTTCGATGCACGGTTGCTTATCAGAGCGCAGAGGCCATCGATGGGCGTCGTCTCTTTTTCAGAGACTACCGAAATCTCGCCTGGGTAGACTTAGCCATTTTTTCCCGATACGAAGGGGTCGGGAAGATCTGGAAGCTTTCCCAAATGCTCCCAATCTAATTATTTGACCTGCACAGGCCATGAAGCATGCAGTTGGATGAGTCAAACTTCACACTTATCACGACTGTGGCAACCATTTCTCTTACAGGTTTTCCTGTTGCTGCTTGCGATGCCAGTGGATGACAGTGACGGGCCAAAGGGTTTTGGGGCGCAGTTGCAGCACTCAGGCTACCACAGCAGCTTGCACTTCTGCGGCAGACAGCGCAGAGCACAATGCCCTCCTGCAGACGCCAAGACACGATGATGGAGCCAGCGATGTCATCGATGACGAGTTTGAGCACGACGAACCCGGAAGCGGCGTTTCTCGAGGCTATTGTCGGTGCCGCCGGCGAGATAGAAATGGCAACCACTATGGTTCTTGCGACTGCTGCCGGCGCCGACGACGCATGGGCACTCAAGATCAAGATGCGCACCGTTGTACCAGTTGTTTTATGACGGTGTGCTCGGTGGTCTTTTTGTATTGATTAGGATCAAGATGACCCAGGCAGCAATGCATTACTAATTATCCTGATGGCAATCATCACCTTCTTTAGGTAGAGACGTTTGATTTAGAAGCCGTGACTGGGTTGCTGGGATATGAAGTTATGATTTGTAGCTGGCGCCCGTTGTCCGGCCAGATCTCTCCAGGCTGCTGCGGTCAAACAGAGTCGCCTCTGAAGTATCTCTACACATGGCACTTCGGCAACGTTCTACATCAAAACGAATTGATGCTCCCGACTGCGCATATTCCTCTTGCAGGTCCTTTGTGTCAAGATCTTCGGGAAGATGTTGAAGACGATGTCACAGACCGAAGAGGCAGGTTGTTGCGCGCCCTCGCCCTCCAAAGCCATAAGCAAGTGGCAGCCCAGGATCTCAAGCCACAGTACTGCAACGCCTGTCGTGACGTCGCGGCCGGGAGCCCGGCATCGTAGTTGGCCCAACCTCCTTAAACCTTAGACGCCCCCAAGACCTTCCGGAGGTAAAAGCCGGAGCTGCGCACGAGATTGAAAATGCAGAGTTCCTTTTCCCGGTGCCTTGGAGAAGAATCAAGAAGCTTAGGGGTTTAGGGTTATGGGGTGACGGTTTGGGGTTTATAAGGGTTTAAGATTGTGGGAGCTTTCGGCCAAGGACAGATGCGATCGCTGCCTCCTGGGATGGGCTTCGTTCCAACTCAAGGAACAGACCCTTGCCGCAGAATTATTTGTTACAATACATTTCAGTACACAGTATTTCCAGACACGGTAGTATCATATTCAACGCGCTCAGGATGTGGTGTACCCAAAATTTTCCTTTGCTGTATTTTTTGCTTACTTTTTACTTCATATATTTTATTTCAGATTTAACGTTCTACACCCCAGTCCATGCAGTGGCCATCCGGACCCGACAGCAAACATAAATACACCTTAAAGCCTTGCGTACTCTTCGGAAGATACTTCAAATCAGAGTATTAAGCCCCAAAAGCCCTTAACTAGGAAACCTAGCTCAAATCGTAAAATTAAGCCCCCGTGGTAATTTCAGGTCTACCCTACCCTAAACCCAAAACTCCCTGGCTCCTTGGGCTCCTGGTGATCCGAGGCACCAGCTTGCCGTGCTTCCGAAGCCCGCCAGTGGGCCCGCACGCAGGGGCTCCGAGAAATCTCTTGGATTTGGGGGTTGAGGTTCAGGCGCGGATCTTTGAGATTTAAGGTTGAGGGTTAAAGCCTGAACCTGAAGAGCCTTCAGCCTGGTACGAAACCCTTCAACGGCCCTAACAAGGCCCGCGCCGATTTGTTGGGGTGTGTCAAAGGGTTCCTTGGACCTAAAGCTTAAACTCTTAAAACCTAAAACCTAAAGTCTTAAACCCTTTCTGACAGTATGAATGTTCAGTCTTCGTTGGAGATCTGTGTGTCAGGTTTCCTGGCCTTGGCGGCTTGGGAAGATTGGTCGTCTGCCGAGGCCCATGTTCTTTCTGTTTTTTTGGTAGGTTTACGGCTTAGGGTTTAGGTTTTCAGGCTGGGGGTTTAGAGGCCTTTCGTGGTATTTGCAGGTTTTGATTTAGGGTTTGTTTCGTTGTTGTGGCCTTTGGCTTTGGAACCAGGCGGACCCGGTGAATGTCGCCTGCCGCATGCTCCTCTGCGAGGGTAGCGATGACCAGCCGGGTCCCTGGCAGTTTTGCAAGGGACTTTTCGGGCCTTGGTTTGACCCCTAAATATTTAGGGTTTAGGGGTTTAGGGTTTAGGGCCTAGGGGCTAAGGGGTTTAGGATTTAGGGTGTAGGGTGTACCTATAGTCTCCATTGTAGTTCCTTTTTTTGGTTAACCAAATTTATATTATAGGATCCTAGCAATAAATTGGTTAACCAAACAAAGGAACTACAATGGACACTACAGGTAAACCTCAGGGCAGAAAGAACTGGAATTATGGGGTATGGGATTGCATAAACACAAACTCCTCTTGACTATGGATCCTAACCCTAAGCCCTAAACGGCCCTAAACCCTAGACCTTCAGCTGGGCAAGGTTGACGATAAGGGTTTAGGGGGTTAGGCTTTAGGATTTGAGGTGGGTCTCGGAATGAAGAATCGCAGAAATCAGCACACCCAAGAACATGTTTAGAAAGGACTGGCAGCATCCGGTTTCTGGGACGGTGAGGAAGCCCGCCAACATACCATACTACCACAGACAGGACCGATGACTGATGTAAGATATTGCCAGATACACAAATGCAGCAGCACAGTGTCAGTGGATGGAACCCTAAACCCTAAACCGCCTAAACCCTAAACCAAAGCCCTAAACCCTAAATCAAAAACCATCCGACATGCACTCCGAGAGTGCAGCGATTCTGCCAAAGTGGTCGAAGCACCGTCACTTCTGGGCTCTAGCTGAAATCGGCCCTCCCACCGCCGAAAAAAAAAACAAACAATCCTCAAACCATAAAACCCTAAACCCCAAAACCAGCAAATCCTTACACCCTAAACCCTGTTCTAAACCCTACACCCAAACCCAAAAACCCAAAGCCAAAAAAATCTGAAACCCTAAATCCTATTGTCTGAGTGTCCTCCGACCCTTCGATGGTCACGATGTGATGATATTCGAGGTCAGGAGAAGGTGTCCGGGCTGTTGCAAACCGAAGACGGGTAGTCTCGCCTGAGCAATGCTAACCGTAATATAGGTGCCTAAATAATTGCCTATACTATTTCGGGGGTTCCTTATCATACACTTTGGGGTTCCTTATTATATTTGTAGTATAATGGACCCCGAAACCCTATTCCAATTATAACCTATACTATTTCGGGGGTTCCGTAATATATTTGGAGTATAATGGACCCCCAAACCCTATTCCAATTATTAAGGCCCCTACGGTAAGTCGTTGAAGGAGCCGCCGCAGCGGAGTTACAGCACCATCGTTGACTTGTGAGAGAAATATAGGGGCCTTAATGCTTAGAATAGGGTTTGGGGGGTAGAGAATACTACAATTATGATAAGGAACCCCAAAACCCTATTCTAATGGTTAAGGCCCCTACATCAACAAGTCTTGGACGAGGTCGGGAGAAGTCACCGATGCCCTTCGCAAGCGAGCACTAGGTCCCGGCGTATTTGGTTGCTTCTTCTGTGGAGATGTTACTCAGGAACCCACAAAGGACATAAGCATAAGCATTTTATAGGGATATCCCTACCTTATTAAGGGGATTTATAGGGGATATCCCTATCCCAATTTTTGCTTATGTGCTTTTTTGGGGCCCTAGTTACTACCTTCCATTACCCAGTGTTCCATCGACCTTCGCCAGGAAGTTGCAGCTGCAAGCGTTGCCAGGAGGCTGGCACTCAAGTTCTGATTGAAAGGAAATCCGACTGTCTGGACTCTAATCCCTAACAAACCCTAAACCCGCATCCATAATACACTACCCTAAACCCTAAACCCCTA